CCCCTTTCCCAGCCCATCGCACATCTCCCAAACCCTCCACCCCAAAACTAACCTCCAAATCCCCCTTCCCGCACCAAACCTTCAGCGCCCTCCTCACACTATCTTCCCACGGCCGCCTCGTTTCGCAAGGCCCAACATACACCTTCTTCAGATTCGGAAGCTGGTAGTTCGAATACTTGAGCTCTCTGAGGTCTCTGGAGTTTACAATCTTGAGTGTAATCTTGATTGCAAGACACCTTAAAATCCTAATTAAGGTAATTGCTTTGTTAAGTATGCTAGTGCAGAAATGCAAGCACAACGTAGTTAAGTAATATAGTATTTAATTATAATATAAGTATATTTTTTAAATACTTTATTTTATAGTATATAGTAGTATATATTTTTTTAAAAGTTTTAGAGATTAAAACTAAGCTATAAAGTTTAATACTCTTAAACTTTATATAAAAGTATAAAGATAAGAAGCTAGAATTTAGTCTAGATAAGAAAGGTAGTATATAAGTATTCTACGCACTCTATATACCTCTAGAAAGGTATTATAAAAAAGTCTTATATATATAATTATACTAGACTCTTTAGCTATAGTTATAGAAAAGTAAAAATATTTACTTTTTCTTTACCTCTTTTCTTTTATCTTCTTTATCTACTATATTTTTTATATTTTCTATATCTTTTATATCTTCTATATTTTCTATAGCTTCTATATCTTTTATATTTTTTATTTACTTATTAATATAGTAATATTAACTATAAAAGCTTTTATTATTTCTAAAATATATATAAGCTATTTTATATTTATTATAACTAAAACTACTATAGTTATTACTAAGTATAAAATAAGTAAGTTTAATCTTATAAACTATTTTATAAAAGTCTACTAGTTTAAAAAAAATAATACTTAAAATATACTATTATACTAGATTATTCTCTAAGTTTAATATAAATAATATAGTATAATACTATATATCTAATATATTTAAAAGTATTAATATTTACTACTTAAGCTTTATCTTTATTATACTAATAAGTAGTCTTATAAAAAAGTATACTAAAGTATAGTATATATACTAGCTAAACTTTATTACTACTAGTAAAAGTTCTAAATAAACTAATTATTAGAAAAACTTTATAAACTATAAAGTACTTATTTATTAATATAAAAATTAAATACTAAATATTTTAACTATAGTAGAGAAGCTATTTAAGTTTAAAGCTAAAAGGTTTCTTACTCTCTTTACTATTATTCTACTTACTACTATACTTTAAGCTATACTTATAGTAGCTTTTATATAAACTAGTAATTAATAATAATAATAACTATAATCTTATAATTAAACTAATTTATTAGTAAACTAATTTTATAATATAAACTAGTCTAAAAAGAGTAAGATCTATTACTAGTATATAAAAAGACGTATTTCTAAAAAGGTTAAAATTCTATATTTAGAGGTGTAAGTATTAGATAAACTAAAGCTTAGGTTTTTAGTACTACTACTTTTAGCGTAGTTAAAGCTTTTAAAATTTAGAGTAGTAAGATAACTATTTTATAAATACTAATATTTATTTATAGTAAGTAGAATTATAATATAATTATATATTTTTAATAGCTTATAACTAATAAAACTATAAATTATAAAGTAATAATAAATACTAAAATATTTAGTAAGTAAAATTATACTTCTATATATATACTCTTTATTCTCTATCTCTATCTTTATCTCTATTCTTATTTTATAGCTTATAGTAAATTAGAAATCTAAGACTTATTAAAAATATAAATAGTAGCTTAAATCTAATACTAAAGCTACACTATAAATAATCTCTTAACTATATTTTTACTCTTTTATAAGTTTTCTTAGTATTAGTAAGTCTAAAGCTAATTTTATTACTAGTTATATTACCTTTCTTTATACTTATATTAATTATATTTTTATACTATATTATATTACTACTTATTAAAGCTTCTATAAACTACTTTAAGACTACTACTAAAAAAAAAGCTCTTAATTAAACTATTCTAGTAATTATTATATAGACTATTATTAAGGCTATTATAAAGGCTATTATTAGAGCTCTTAAAGCTTACTTTACTTATCTTATATTATATTTTAAAACTACTAAAACTATTACTACTATTAATACTATTAAGATTATTATACTACTACTATAAAAACTTCTAATATATAAACTAAGACCTTTTATAGTTCTTTATTATAGCTAAGCCTTTAAGTAACTTACTAGTAATATATAAGAGTTTTTTTATAAGCTATATCTACTTTAAGAGAAGTAATAAAATAGTTATTATATTACTAGTGTTACTTTTTTTACCTAAAGTAATTTATTAATTATTTATACTATATATACTTATAACTTTATATATAAGATTAGGCTATAAATAGCTTTACTTATAAAGATAAAAGTAGCTATTATATACTAGCGTAAGGCGTTTATTAGAATTTTTAGCTAAAGTAATAATAAATAAACTAAAGAGAATAAGGTGTTTAAAGTCTACTTTTAGTATAATAATACTATTAAATAAATAGTAGCTATATTAGTGTTTTACTATTATAGTTACTTTTAAGAACTAAGCTATAATAAAGTAGTTATTTTTATTAGCTTAAGTTATATTATATTAATAGCTAAAGATTAAATATAGTAAAACGTTAATACTATAAGTATTACTTAATATAAAGTTTCTCTTCTTAGTAAGGCTTTAAAAGTAATATATTATTAGTTTATATAGAAGCCTTAGTGCTAATAGTAATATATACTAAATATATTAAAATCTTAAAATCTTCTAGTAGTTCTAGAATAAAAGCTAGACGTTTTTTAATATCTTTTTACTAAATAGAGTCTATAAAATTAAGTATAAGGCACTAATAATTAAACTAATAATATAAGTAAAATAAATAATTTAAATAATAAAGTTTATTAGTAAACTAATTTTATAGTATAAACTAGTCTAAAAAAAGTAAAGTCTATTACTAGTATATAAAAAAACGTATTTCTAAAAAAGTTAAAATTTTATATTTAAAAGTATAGATATTAAGTAAACTAAGACTTAAGTTCTTAGTACTACTACTTTTAGTATAGTAGTTAAAGCTTTTAAAATTTAGAGTAGTAAAGTAACTATTTTATAAATACTAATATTTATTTATACTATAGTAAAAAGAATTATAATATAATTATATATTTTTAATAGCTTATAACTAACTAAGCTATAAATTATAAAGTAATAAACTACTAAAATTTTAGCTTATAAAATTATACTTCTATATATATACTTTCTATTCTCTATCTCTATTTTTATTTCTATTTTTATTTTTATTTTTATTCTATAGCTTATAGTAAATTAGAGATCTAAAAACTTATTAAAAATATAAATAGTAGCTTAAATCTAATACTAAAGCTATACTAATATATATACTAAATAAGCTTTTAACTATATTACTAATACCTCTTTTATAAGTTCTTCTAGTATTAGTAAGTTTACTTAAAGCTAATCTTATTACTAGTTATATTACTTTACTTACTAAAGCTTAATTAAGCTTCTTATTATTACTATATTAATTACTTTTTTTTTAAATATATTACTACTTCTATAAGTTCTCTTAAAGTTATTATTTTAAAAGCTATTATAAAAGCTACTATAAACTACTTTATTTTAGCTATACTAGAGGCTATTATAAGCGCTTTATAGCGCTACTTTACTAGTACTTTAAAGCTATATACTAGGTCTATTAATATTTCTATTATCTTTAGTTTTATTATCTCTATTTTTATTATTTTTATTTCTATTATTTTTATTATTTTTATTACCTTTATTATATATATAACTAGTATAAAGCTTTTTATTATTTTTTTCTCTAGCTTTACTTTTTAGAAGCTTATTAGTAAAATATATAAGCTTTTTAGTAAGTATAATATTAGTTTTTTACTTACTATAATAAAATAGTAATACTACTTTATTATAAGACTTACTAGTACTAAGCTCTAGAATACTTATACTATTCTTATTTATAACTTTATATATATAGTAAAGCTAAAAATAATACTACTACTATTTTTAGCTATTAAAAAGGCTATATATTTATAATATAATATCTTAGCTAGAATACTTTATAAAAGTTCTAAAATATAAAATAAAAAGAATATAATATTTATAGCTTATCTTTTATAGAAAAATACTATTTACTAAATAGTAAATATAATAAACTACTATAAGTTTTATTAATACTTAGAGAAATAGTTATTATATTATAGTTATTAGAAAATATATACTATAAAGCTATTAATAAATTTATAGTACTAGTATTTTTATTACTACTATATTATATAGTTTTTAATTACTACTTAAGCTTCTAAAAGTATATAAATATATATAGTTATAGTTTATATAAGTATTAGTACTAATAGTAATATATACTAAATATCTTAAAATCTTAAAATCTTCTAGCTATCTTAAGATAATCTAAAAGCTAGGCGTTATTTAATATCTTTTTACTAAATAGAGTCTATAAAATTAGGTATAAAGTACTATAAATAATAAAGTAATACTAATAGCTTATTAATAAGCTTATAATAGAATATATAACTAGTCTAATAAACTATAAGTATATTTAAAATCTTTCTAGAGTATTTAGCTAGCGTATTAAGCTATAGAAAATATATAGCTTTTTTATAGTACTATAAATATATTACTACTAATTCTAGAATTTTCTAAAGCTTTTAGATAATTATAACTATAATAAAAGTAGTAGTAGTACTTACTTTTAAGAAGAACTATATATAATATAGTAGTACTACTACTACTAAGTATTATTTATATATTATTAGTAGTACTACTACTACTAAGTATTATTTATATATTATTAGTAGTAATAAATAAGTTAATATAAATTATAAGTCTTTATTATAAATATATAAGAAAGAAAAGTATAAGTAAGTAGTAAAAGGCGTTTAAGTTTATTAGGCTTAGTTTTAATAGCTTAAAAGTTTATTTATTAGTTATAACATAGTATAATGTTATAAGACATAACGCAGTAGGCCCTGTCTCTAAAGCCTAGGGGGCTAATCGAGGTGATAAATCCGCTGATCTCGTGGTGGCAGGTGCTAATTGGTGGCCACGAGAACAAGTTAAACACGTTGAAATCGAAGAGGGCGTGCGCGTATATGAGGGGGGTGGCTTCTTGTCGGATTTGCGCCGAGGCTGAGAGGAGGCCTGGGAGTTCGAGGGCGTACTTGATGGGGGCGGTGTTGGCGGTGTTTGTAGTTTCCAATCTGTAGGGCCGGATAATAGTCGCGAGACCAACGTAGGTGTAGACTATGTTCCGCAGTTCGGCAGGGAGACGAAGAAGGGGTGATGTTTGTTGGTTGGTGAGGGTACTAGGCGCGTTAGTTAGTGGGTGGTGTTGAGTGAATGGCGAGGGGCTTACGTTTGGGACATGGCGGTGGCGGATACAACGGCTGTAGACGGAGTTTCCATTCTTTGGACGGACGGAGAAGTAGAGTGTAATGATTTTGGCTAGCGTGTAGTTGAAGGAACTGAATAGGTAATTTGAACTGAGTGCTTCTGAGGTCGATTTATCTGCAATGCGCTAGCTGCCTAGCCAAGGGCTGATACTGCAATCCACTTCTCTTTTAACTAGCTAGCTCTCTGACGTCTAGAAATACCCTCTTCCTGCCCACCGCCCATTCTCTCAGTCACACAAAGATGATTTGCATGGTATTCTTCTTGCACAACACCTCCATTGCTGTCCCTGTAGTAAATCCCCACTGTTGCATACATGCGTCATACTTGATGTAAATTTTCTGCACGTTCGGCAGCCATTTGGTCGGAAATTGCAGTCCTTCATAGCTCCTACCTTTTCCAATATAGTGGGAAACGAGGCATGCCACTTGACCCCCAATCTTAATCGAGGTAACGAACTCGCCGATTGAGTGGTCGCAGCTGCCGTTCAGCCAGACACCCGTGTTACACTGGGTGAAATCGAAGAGGGCTGATCTGTATACTATTGAGGTGGCTTCGTGACGGATTTGTTTGCACGCCTTGAGTTGTTCTGGAACCTGGAAGCTGCATGTGAGAGACCCTTCAGGTTGAATGGCTTTAATGATAGTAGAGAGGCCGACGAAGGTGTAGATCTGGTTTCGCAGCTCAGCGGGCAGGCGAAGGAGTGGAGAGCTGATTTGATTGGCGGATGTACTGTGAAGGATGTCAGTGGGAAGTGCGGGGAATGGTAGTGGACGTACATTTTTGACATGACGGTGTTGAGTTCATCGGGTGTAGATGGCGTTGCCATTTTGCGTGTGTGGGGGGGAATATAGGGTATGTTGATTTGAGCTGCTCGGTGGGGGTCGGAACTAAGTAGTAAGCTCGAAAAAGTGTGATAGATTCATCATGTATTTTGCTAGCTCGCCAAGAGCTAGTCGCGTGATTCAATCGGAAGCTTGGACTACCCAAGGTCACTATTGTTTCCAACAAGATACGTAGGTAACGTGACTTTAAAGGTTCCTCCTTTCCTTCTGTGAAGCTGCTTTTCATTGGTCTTGATATACGATCGTTCCCATCGCTACGCTGCTATGGGAAAGACACCTCCCCGTGGTCAAGTCTAGTATTACACCGAGCGCCAAGTTGCTATGAGGGAGTAAAAAGCACCAGGAACGGGCTCAGCTCAGCGATCGAAGTGACTCCTTAGTCGTAGTCTTCTTTCCACTCACCAGCCCAATATTTGGTCCCATTTCCGTCCCGCCAATAGAGAAGGTCCTCGAAGATGACTTTCAGATTATCTTGCTTGCACCAGAGCCTCAAGCCCGACTTTATCTTCTCGCTGTCCTCAAAGGGCCTCCACCCCCACGATTTGACATGAACCTTCTCTAGGCTTGGTAGCCAGCTTGTAGGAGACGTTTTTGCTCGTATGGTCTGGCCAAGGTATAGAGAAGAAACGCCTGAAGCAACCTCAGCAAACTCGTAATCAATTCTAACTGAGGTGATGAGCTCGCTGAACTTGTTCTTGCAACGGGGCTCTAGCCATGAGCGGGGGTCTATCTTCGAGAGATCGAGGATGGCAGATTTGCCTATCAAAGAAGTGGCTTCTTGTCGGATCTGTTTACAAGTACTGAGGAGGCCGGGAAGCCCGACTTTGAGCTTTGCCGAACCCCAATCCTTGGCTTGTGGCATATGATTTGCAATAACAATAACTTCAATCGTAGTGGAAAGACCGACGTGGGTGTAGATCTTGTTTCGCAGCTCAGCGGGCAGGCGGAGAAGCGGCGACTCGAGCTGGTTTCTGAGAGTGCTTGGCTCATGTGTTAGTACGTGCGACTGGGCGAGAGAGAGCGAGCTTACATGTTTGCTTCAGTCTCTTCGCCCAGGAAGGCTGCGGGGTAAGCGTCGGCCTCCATGTCGCAGGAGCGCGTAGATTGGCGGCGCTTGACTCTGGTTGTTGGTGGTGGGCGGAGAGAGATGGAAAGATTGAGAAGCGAAGGCAGTGTTTACTGCGCTTTCTCAAAAGGCTCTAGTGCGGAAATCGACTACCTGGGTATCTCTTGTGACTAATCAGGCCCATTGGCCTCTAAGGGCACTCACTAGGCCTTGGGTCCCTTGAGTTGCTCGAGAAGGACTGCTGGATGCTTCATTCTCGTGGCCGACAAGCTCGCAGCGAATGGGTATACGATCTATCAGCAGTGCATGAAACTGAAACAAAATTCTCATTGTGCAAAATGTATCTTTGATTACTATCAACTTCTTAATCAGCACAGTCTTCTCGTGGACTGTGAGCGTCCACTATCCCAGCCAGCTTATTTCTCAAAGATGATCTCGAGTGATTCATCTCCAAACCACTTCCTCAGAGCTGCTAGATCCTTCATGTTCTTCCATCCACAGTATATCTTCTGTACATACACGCTCTTCAGACTTGGCAGGCATCCTGCTGGTGTCCTGTTTTCTATCCAAGAACGTGGTACGGAATCGGACTTGAACATTACGGAACGAGCCCAGTAACCAGACATCCTGATTGAGGTAATGAGACTGCAGATGTTGCGATTGAATGTTCTATCTAGCAAGAAAGCCCCGCTGTGGCTGGTGATGTCGAAAATGGCTAGGCTGTAGAGCAACGTGGTGGCTTCGTGCTGTATCTGCTTGCAACTTCTAACAAGACCTGGGGCTCTCAAGCAGAGGATGCATTTCAAAATGCTGCTCTCGGAGGCTTCTGTCACTTTGATGGTCGTGGAGAGCGAGACGAAGGTGTAGATCTTGTTGCGGATCTCGGCGGGCAGGCGAAGAAGAGGTGAGTTGAGCTGATTTCTGAGCGTACTAGCCGGAGTTTCAGCTTTTGTGCGCGTGCATTTGAGGGCGCTGTGCTTACATTTCCGACATTGCGTTGTCGCAGGGCAAGGCTGCGCATGCGAGATCGCTCTGCATCGCGAGTATCGCGCAGGAAGGAGGTGATGTTGTGTAACAAAGGCAAGAAGTGATTGTAGTTAAAAGACAAGGACTGGAGTGTGTTGAGAAGCGATGTGAGTGTAACCCCGGGTAACTGTTGCATTCGAGTAGAGGAGGCGACTATCTAGTGGCCATTACCCTTTTGGGTAGCAGCAAACGCTATGACGTACAAGCCGCGCTCTCACCTTCCAAAGCTCTTCGCACGGATTCAGGATGGGCTTCAAAGATGACCTTCAAGTTCGCATTCCCCGCCCAGACCCGCAGCTTTTCCCGTATACTATCGACATCATCTAGTGGCCAGATACCGGAAACATAGACTCGCACTAAAGCCGGAAAACTCAAGATCGTCGTGCCTTCCAAATCATTCGCACCCCAACGGGGTATGCGAATGGATGTAATAAGTTGACAGACCGCCAGTTTAGCGATATCCCGGAGGAGCCGCATATCATCCCAGGCCCTTTCGAAGATATGGTAGATCGCTCTAGCGAAGAACATTGTACGGGCTTCGAAACGGAGTTGAGAACAGGCTGATATGAGAGCCGTAGATCTCTTGTAGGAGTAGGAACTTAAAGAGTGTATATGGATCTGGATGTTGATGAATGTGTACTCGTAGATCTTGTTGCGTATCTCTCCGGGGAGTTTGAGAAGCGGGGATGTGAGTTGGTTCTTGATTGCTCTAAATAGCGTGTCAGCGAGAGTGGGGGAGGTTAAGTATGTGGAACATGGCTGACTGACAGGTCGGACAGGACTTCGTTGTTATGCATCGTTGTTGTTGAGAGATTGATATCCATTTCGCGTTCAGGAGAACTAGGGGTGTTTTGATTATGGAAGTGAGCGGGACACAGAAGTAGGTGGAAGGCTTGGGAAGCGAATATTAATTATCTAGCGTGTATTACGCGACTATTACATTTCTCCATTGCAGAGCTATTTATGACGTATCGAAACTCTCGCTATTCCCTTGTGCAGCACTTCCACGCGTGAAAGTTCCTAGAAGGCTGAGCTGTGGGCCACTTGCAAGTCCGCATTTCCCGCCCAAGTTCGTAGCGCGTCAACCCCCAAACTATCCTTTGGCATGCGCGATTTACTCCAACCAGCGACATATACTCGTTCCAGTTCCGGGAAGAGTTTAGCTCCCTGTCGTTCCGCTACAAAATGCTCATCCTCCCGTAGGAGCCTTGTAATCCGCTGCGATCGTAGATGGATGGAAGTGACGAGCTGGTAGTCCGCGTGTGGAAGATTCTCTGGGAACTCCGAGAACAGGAGCGCCCTCAGATCTAATGTCGCATGCGCGAAGAAGATGGCGTGGGCTTCATGGCGCATCTGAGAACAGGTGGATATGATGGCTGTGGACTTGCGGGCTCGAGGACTGTTGTTGAAGACGGCTTGAGTGCGGGAAACCGCGTACACGTAGATCTTGTTGCGTATTTCCCCTGGCAGCCGCAAGAGAGGTGAGCCGAGCTGATTCTGAAGAGTGCTGGATACATGTTAGCAGATGCTCGTCGTCTCGATATGGCTGAATGGTCCAGGTACTTACATCTCGCGAGCTTCTTTGGAAGTGAGCACGCGACGCTGACGTGAGGTGACTGTCTGTCGTGACATATTGCTACGCGGGGTCAGGAGCCAAACCCAGGAAGTGTTCAATGGCGCAGAACGCTTACCCAGGTACGTGTGTTCGGGGATTTATGGGCTACACCAATCAGTCAGCGTACCTAGGTAGTTGCTCACGAGACTGGATGAGCTGATGGCTTACTGAGAACAATCTGTGGGAAGACAAGAGAAGAGGACTGGTTTCGGCGATCAAGGTGTTTTATATACAGAGGGTACGTGCGGGGGTGGTTGCAAGACCGGGATTAGACCCTCGAGATCACGCGCCGGATCACGTGCATAGGGCCGAGGATGTTTCTTGATCCATTTCTAATGTGTTGCTATAAATGACACTTTGTATATCCATCAGAACTTCTGCACCGTTCTCAGGTCCATGCGCTCCCAACTTAACCGAAATCGCTTCCTCATGTACATAGGTATCCAGCTACTCATGAGTAAGAGAAGCTAAATTGGGAAAGAATGCGCTAGCAGCGATAAGTCCCAGGCTGCATTGAACGCTTTTGCATAACCAGGAGCCAATATGGATCTGTGATCTCCTCGTCGGTGACCTGTAGGTTCGGCTTTCCAAACAGTCCTCGTAGCGCATCGATGCATATATCAGTCGCCCTAACGGGTTGCTTCAAAAGGACCCTCTCAACCCCAGGTAGATCAGGTTTAGCCCTTATACCAGCTTTGAATTCCCAAGCCTTCCGTATCGCAGTGGTGAGATAACCACCGTCCATATACAGCGAGGAAATGAGGTTGCGATATTTGGGGTTGAGGCTCACGTGAGCTGCCCACCCTCGAAATCCAGACAACTCGAACGTGGCGTGGGTATACAAGAGTGCGATGGCCTCGCAGAAGATCTGTTTGCAGGTGAGGAGGAAGGTTTGGGTGAAGAGACACGACCTTTCGGAGACTTCTGGGCGCTTCCCGTGCTTGACTGTAATGGATTGGCAGACGTAGGTGTAGATGTGATTGCGGATTTCGCCAGGTAGACGAAGTAGGGGCGAGTTGAACTGGTTTGCTGTGGCGCTGTTTCGATCAGCTAGTGTATTGTGGATGAAGTAAGCGCTCTATTCAGCGGCTTACATCTTGTCAGATTCCTCAGGCGTAGTTGCACGCTTGAGCAATCCCTCCCACTCTTTGTAGGCCTTCTCGCGGTCCCAGAAGGCTGTCGCCATAATGTGGACTCGGGTATCGGGTTGGGTTTGAGAATTCGATGGAGACTCGGCGTAGATTTGTTGCAAAGACGTTGTTGTGGCGGACTCACAAGAGAATTGCCTTCTCTAAATAGTTGCAGGCCCAGGCTAGGCAGCGGTGAGGTTAGCTTGGAGTCACGTGTGGGTTCAGAGTGCATAGCCCTGGAGGGCCCTGAAAATAGGTCATATCTGGATGGCGTAGCAAGGTCAGTGAGACTTTGAAAAGATAGATATCTTAGAACAATCTTAAGTATTCGATCCAATATGTACATTAAACAGAAACCGCGTACTTTACACTCGGTCAGCTCTACCACATTTAGGCCTTGGGACCATGAGGCTTCTTCATGTAGGTTGGCGCCAGAGGCGGGTCAGCGTTCTTGACCAGCATCTGCACGTACTCGTCGAACCAAGCACCAGCAGCCGGTGCGCCAGTAAGACCGCACTTTCCGTCACTCTCACCACCAGGCTTGATCCAGACAAGAGAGTCGACGTTGGTGTTGTTCTGCTTGGAACCAGGTAGAGGACCAAATCCGGCAGGCTCAACGTTGCACCACTCACCCCACTCCTCACGAGCACCGGGAAGGGCGACGCGGCCCTGGTCGATGATGAAGTGGGATGGCAGACCCTCGGCCTCGAGGTAAGGAGCGAGCGATGTGGCGTAGTGGCTCTCGTCCCAGGATGGCGAGTACTCGGTGTAGTTCTCGCGGACCTTGGCTTGGAAGGAGTTGTAGTTCGAGACATTGGTCGAAAACCCCCGGATCTTAGCCATGGGGTTGAGCTTCTTGGCCATGGCAACAACCCTGCCGAAGACCTCAGCAGTCGGCTTCAGGTTGTCTGCCCAACCGAGCCAGCCGCCGTGCGCAGCATCGATGTACAGATGTACGTTGGGGAACTGCAACTTGGAGATCGCATACGCAATACCCTCCTCGTAGATTGGAGTGGCGTTGGCGCAGAAAGGAACGCCCTGGTTAGTGACGGCGTTGCCCAGACTGTCGGGCTCCAGAACGATGGCGAAGTCGAGATCCCTGGCCTCAGAAACAAGCTTGGCGTACTTGTCGACAAACTCCTTCTTGTAGATCTGGAGACCGTTGTTGGCGGAGCTGAGCTCACCGGCAGACTCGCCAGCAGAGCAATCACGGTCGGGCAGATTGTACAGAACTAGTCCGACGATCATCTTCTTTGGGCCCTTCTTCTGCTGACGAGCCTCCTTGATGGCTTGGGGAATGAGGCTGAGACCATCGCGTGTGGTGACCCAAGTGAAAGTCGAGATCTTCTGGGCGACTGTGCGAGTGCGCGCCGCATTGAGAGTGTCGTTCTGGGCCGTGAAGGTTGCAATCGTCTGTTCGAGCTTCTTGCCGTAGCTTTGAACAACATAGCGGTCTTTGCCAGTCCAAGGGTTGACGTTGGGGCCTGGGGGTGGCTTAGGAGCTGCGGACGCAGCCCCAGCGAGGGCGGCAGTTGCCAAAACGAACTGTGTGAGTTGCACCATGATGAAACGAGAGGCTTGGAATTGACTCGAGGTGGTGATGAACCGTACCGTGGACTACCTGGGGCTTTTATAGAACGCCATGAAGATTTGCGCCGCGGAAAAGACCCATCCAATCATCCCTTTCTCTTTCAGCAGGCTTGGTACAGGTTTGCCCTTACGTTCACGTGGCTGTCTTTAGACTTGGTCAACGGTACCGTCGGCCCGTTGTACATTCTAACAGCACTCAAGACGGTCCAAGTCCTTGGAGAAAAAGCATTGACATCTCGCATACAAAGCGCCACGGCGGCGTTGCTGTAGTGCTTCATCGATGGCGTACTGTGCGCTTTCTTTGGCGAATGTAAGGAACGGTCGTTCGCCCCTAGATTGGCATGTAGTCCTGTTAACAGTAAATTAGCCAAGGTAAAGTCTACCGGGGCTGTTGCGGGTAGTCAATATATCTGAGCTGTTTACCCGGCTTCTACCCCAGCTTCGTTGAAACGACGACCCCGCAATCCGGCTCGTGATATTGCGATTCCGAAAAGCGCCCTGCAGATTGGACGGAGTGGTCAAGCTAATGCTGTGTATATTGCACATAAAGTACTGTGGGGATCTTGTGTCATTTCGGACTGCAGCTCGCCATCTGCAGGCACTGTACAGAAGATTCGTTGCGTCTTCTAGCGCGGGTGTGAGCGGCTGTACCCTGAGGCTGAGTTGGATGTAGATGCTGCACGCACGATGCAGGAGCTCCAACACAAGATAGATGTCGAAAGTGATATGGCGAGCTTAGGCACTGGGGTTGAGACGATCGCGCAGATTGAAGGCCTATGGCATACAAACGTGTAGGTCAATTTCCTTGCACCTGGACGCGCGCCCTACGTGGGACATGTGATAATGGCCGTAGGACGACACAGTGAATTGCCTGATCGCATATCGACATCCAGACATCCCGAGATCTGGCTGAAGGCGCATTTTACGGATGGAGCGCGAAAAGGCACGAAAATGATGGTGCTGTGCGACGCGCGCGGCGTGCATGATACCCGAAGTCGAGCGAACCGCCCTTCAAAGGACAACGCGTCGATATCTCGAGAACGCAGTAGTCGCGTAGTCGCTCGCGTCGGTTGAATTGGGATGGGGTGCAGTCGGACGCGTGACATTTCGTAGTGAACGCGACGCGGGTGCCGGGGCGGGAAGCTGGTTTCCTTGCCGTTAGCGTCTTGGCAGTAGTCGTCGTGGTTTCCGTTGCACGTTCCAAATGTTGGAAGTCCTTTCACTCCGCTGCAATGTCGAACGCTACAGTCGCGAGAGATAAGCTCCTTCCCGATATCAGAAGATATGTTCTTACGAGATAGGAATGCGACCACGGATGCAGGACAAGAAGAAAGCTTCAAGTTGATGCGTTCGTCGTTGTGGCTTCAGAGTAAAGAGGTTGAGATGGAGGAGACAAGGATGTGGAGGATAGCGGCGAGTGCGCATCGATTGTGAGCGAGGCAGAGATCGATGCGGTAACGACCCATGTTTCGCAACTTTGCGGAGTTGACCAGCTGCTGGTCGTTGCGAGGCGAAAGAGCTGGTATACAGCTTCAACATTCACGAGAACCAGCATCTGGAAGATCAAAATCTAGGAGTAAAAATGTACATTGAATCGAATCTAGTCTACAAACTATTCATAAGGAGTGCCATGTCGTCGTATCGTATCATGTTGTTATTACAAAGGAACGGCTCGTCTCAGCGACGATGAAGAAGAAGAAGTAGGTGGTGTTCACATCCGACACCTTCTAGACTCACTTGATGATGATTCATGATCAACACAAGGTCTCAGCCACCAACGCTAACAATCTAGCACTGGCGGACGTACATGCCAAGGGGGCTTGGGTTGTAGTCCTGGAAGTAATCCATGGAGAAGTCACCGCTGCCACAAATCATGTAGGTGACGGTCTTGCCAGCCTCGCAGTCACCAGTCTCGATGGGGTAGGTGTTGCCAGGGGTCATCTCCATGTGGGCAACATCCTTCTCCTTGGCGGGCATGTTCTTGTAGGTAGTCATCGCATCGGCAGGGCCCTTGAGCTTGCTGACGGTGCACTCTCCGTGACCAGACATGGTGTAGTCGGAGGTCTCGAGGTCCTCCTTCTTGGGAAGCATGAACATGGCAGAGCACTTCTTGCCAGCCATGGAGGCGGGGATGTCGAAGTTGAAGATGGTGCAGGTGTGGCTATCAATCTTGCCGTTGTAGGAGGTGTCGTGGGCCTTGTCGGATTGCTCGGAGTCGACAGGTACGATGAGGTGGGGGTACTCGTAGTTGCCGTTGAGGTCCTGGGGGCATGAGCCCTCACCGCCGTTGTTAACGCCGTCGTCTGGGTTCTCTGGTGTTTCAGCGGGCTTGCTTCCTGCTGGAGGAGCGGGCATGGTCGCGGAAGCAGCGGGATAGGTCTCGGCGGGAGGAGCGGGGTGCGTCTCAGCGGGAGGAGCAGGGTGAGTCTCGGCGGGAGGAGCGGGGTGCGTCTCAGCGGGAGGGGCTGGCTTGGTCTCAGAGGGGGCGGGGTTGGTTCCAGCGGGAGGAGCAGCAGGCGCAGTTACAGTGACGGTAACGACGCTTGGAACGCACTCAGACTCTTGAGGGACACCAGGTGCGGGCTGGGAGGGCTTCATGCCTTCAGACATGGCGGGGTAGCCCGGCTTGCCTGATTGCTGAGGCTTTCCAGGTTGGCCGGGGTACTCGGGCATGCCAGAAGGCATTCCGGGCATACCGGAGGGCTTTCCAGGCATACCGGAAGGCTTTCCAGGCATATCAGAAGGCTTCCCAGGCATACCAGAAGGCTTTCCAGCAGGAGGTGTACCGGCGGGTGGTGTACCAGCAGGAGGTGTGCCAGCAGGTACAGTAGCAGTAGCGACGGGAGGTGTGCCGGCGGGAGGTGTTCCAGCAGGGTATGTGCCAGCAGGAGGTGTACCAGCAGGTACAGTGGCGGTAGCGACAGGGGGTGTGCCGGCAGGTCCAGTCGCGGTGGCTACGGGAGGTGTGCCAGCAGGCTGAGAGCCAGCGGGTTGTGTAGCGCCAGCTCCGCAAGAACCAGCTGAGCCAAGAGAGATCTCGACGCACTTCTCTTGGCCAGGGGCAGGTGTTGTGTAGACGTTGTACTCGCCGTTGTCGTTGACGGGGCAAGCGTAGAACTTGCCGGAGCCGTTGTATGTAACGCCACCGTTGGGACCGACCGCAAAGCCGTTGGTGGGAGTGGCACCAACATCGCACTGGAACTGGGTGGTGGGAGGAGTTAGGATGCAACCACGTCCATTGGAATCAGTGAAGCCACCGTTGCCGTCCAGGCAGTAGCAGCCGGTAGGCAGACCACCGTTACCGACACGGTTCTGGCCGTCGTCGAGTTGGCCAAGTACGCCTGATGCGCCGCCTGACGCCTCAAGCTTGAAGCACTGTGTAGCCTGACGAACGACAAGGGCGTTGGCTCCGAGGCCGAACGCGATGGGAGCGAAAGCGTATCTCATACTGGAAAACTGAGCGACT